TATTCCGCATCCAAAATTTAATCAGTACATTGGTCTAATAATTCCTTCTCTTCAAACGTAAATTTCTCAATATGTTCTCTGAAAATTGCGTGAAGAGAATATTCTCAATTCATTCAACCTATTTGCGAACGCAACAGTATATTTACCGTAAATCGGTTAAAATCACGACACTTAAATGAAACAGACAGAACTTTATGACATAAGGAAATGTGAAACTTATCACCGTCAGCTCCAAAAATATTAATCAACCTATCTCCTTGACGCGCTTTTCGATTAATACGTTTCATTTACATACTTACCTAAAACTCTGATTTTTGTGGAATATCTTGCCAAAAAGTTGCGAAAAACTATTGCCTTTGAAACACTGAATCTTTGGATATAAATTTTGTTGTTAGATAATACCCATAACTATCTATTTGCCTCTTTGTGCTTGTTTAACACTAACTAATATCTATAATTGTATATACTGATGGATTTACATGTCCAAGTTGGCTCAAGTCAGCGAGTCTATGAGTTTGGTATAATTTTGGTTGACTGTACTTGACTGTGATATTATTATTGTTGTTGTCACTTGTTACTCTTCTTGTTGTGAATTATTTTCCTGTGCTGGTGTTGTTCTGATTGTTTTATTCCTTGTTTTCCTGGTTTTAAGGGGAGCAACCCACAAGGTCGCTTCTCTCTAAACTATACTTTAATGTAACAATCCCCTTCTCAGGCGTGAGGCTAGCAACCCAACCCTGTAAATAAAGTTGCTACAGAAATTTCAGCACGATGAATCTCCTTGCGCCAAAATAAAAAGTCTGTGTGGGGACATGGAATGTTCGGACCATGTATGAGATTGGCAAAGCTGCCCAGATCGCAAACGAAATGAAAAGATACAGAATTCAAGTGCTAGGGATATGAGAAAGCAGATGGAACGGGAATGGACTCACCAAATTGTCAACAGGTGAGTGAGTGATCTACTGCGGTCACCCAGAGGATAACCACATGCACACCGAGGGCGTGGCTATCATGATGTCACCAACGGCAACGAAGGCCCTGATGCAATGGGAGGCGATCTCGCCCAGGATAATGACCGCCAGATTCAACTCCAAAGGAAGGAAAGTGTCAGTTAAGCAATGCTGTGCACCTACAAACAACGCAGATCTCGAGAAGAAAGAAGAGTTTTACAGACAACTACAGGCAACGATGGACAATACTCCAGTCGGTGGCATTAAAATATTAGTGGGAAACATGAATGCCAAACTGGGACCAGACAACACAGGAAGGGAACTCATCATGGGTAGAGAAGCACTTGTAGAGATGAATGAAAACGGAGAACTCTTCACCGATTTCTGCGCCTTCAGTGTACTAGTGATTGGCGGCAGCGTAAACAAACACAAGGATATCCACAAGGCTACATGGGTGCCACCAGATGGGCGAACCAAAAACCAAATCGACTTCATCTCAATCTCAAGGAAGTGGAGGCGCAGCCTGCTGGACACAAAAGTAAGAAGAGGAGCAGACGTTGGCTCAGACCACTATCTCGTACAAGGGATAATCCAAATCAAATTAAAAGCTTTCAGAGAAACAGGAGCTGCAGATAGACCACAAGCCAAGTTCAACACTCAAAAACTGAAGGACCAGGACACAAAGGACATCTTCACTGCAAGCATAAAGGACAAAGCCGAGACACAAATCAACACTGGCGAAGAGGTCAGCGTCGAAAAGCAATGGAACAACTTGAAAACAGTGTGGAGTCAAACCTGCATGGAAGTTCTAAGCAGAATGAAGAGACAGGACAAACAGTGGCTCAATACGGACACTTGGAGACTGGTAGAAGAGAGAAGGATGGTGAAACAAAAGATTCTCCAGTGCACCGACGAGCAACAAAAACAGGATTTGAATGCAAACTACAAGACGCTGAACAAAAGAGTGAAGAAGAGTGCCAGAGAAGACAAAAGAAAGTATTATGAAACCATGACAAGTGAAGCAGAACAAGCTGCAGGTAAAGGAGACCTCGCAACACTCTACCAAACAACTAGGTACCTATCGGGCAAAAGTTTGACACAAATTAAGCCGATCAAGGATGACAATGGAAAGTCACTCACCAAAGAAGTGGAGCAAAGGAAACACTGGGCTGAACACTTCAAAAGACTCCTAAATCGACCACCACCTACAACGTGCCCAACAATATCAACAACGGAGACAGAGCTACCAGTGAACACCAACCCCCCGACGAAATCAGAAGTCCTGAAGGCAATCAAGATGCTAAAAGCTGGAAAAGCAGCAGGACCAGATGGAATCCCAGCAGAAGCATTGAAAATGGATCCAGAGACAACAACGGACTTGATGACGCCACTACTGGAGAAGGTGTGGAAAGAAGGCAAAGTACCCGAGGATTGGAAGAAAGGATACTTATTCAAACTACCAAAGAAAGGAGACTTAAGTCAATGCAAGAACTGGCGCGGAATTATGCTCCTGTCCATCCCAAGCAAAATACTAAGCCGCATCATCCTGGAGAGAATCAAACATGCCCTGGATGAAAAACTTCGACCGGAACAGGCTGGATTCAGGAGAAACAAGTCATGCATTGATCAGATCGCCACATTACGGATCATCATTGAACAAAGCTTGGAATGGCAGTCACCTCTCTATCTCAACTTCATCGACTTTGAAAAGGCCTTCGACAGCGTCGATCGAGAGGTGATTTGGAAACTACTTCGCTACTACGGGGTGCCACCGACAATTATACATCTCATCCAACAGCTGTACGACAATGCTGCATGCCAAGTAATCCACAACGGGAAACTCACGGAATCCTTCGAAGTGAAGACGGGAGTAAGACAAGGCTGCCTACTATCGCCAATGATTTTCCTGATTGCAGTAGACTGGATAATGCGACAAACAGTGGGCAATGAGGAAACAGGCATAAAATGGACACACACAAAACACTTGGAGGATCTGGACTTCGCCGATGATATATGTCTGATTTCCCACAAACTGGAAGATATGCAAGCGAAAAGCAACAAGTTAGCAGAAGAAGCATCCAGAGAAGATAGGACTTCAGGTGAACATAGATAAAACAGAGGTGATGAAAATTCCTGGGCAACACCACCAACAGCAACAACAACAACAACTGACAACAATCAGCATAAATGGGAGGAACCTGAAAGAAACAACCTCCTTTGCCTACCTACCTGGGAAGCATCGTTTCAACTACAGGCGGAACTGACGAGGATATCAAAGCAAGAATCGGAAAAGCAAGACAAGCTTTCACTACTCTCAAGTCTGTGTGGAGGTCAACAGCACTCAGCATCAAAAATAACATCCGGATTTTCAACTCCAATGTGAAGTCAGTCAGTGCTACTATACGGATCAGAGACTTGCACTGCGCGTCATAAAGAGCATCTCAAACAAACTACAGACCTTCATTAACAGTTGTCTTCGCTCAATACTCAAGATCAGATGGCCAGAAAAGATCAGCAACAGGGATGGATCTCTGGGAGCGAACCAACCAGGAACCGATTGTGAAACAAATAGGCAGAAGGAAATGGAGATTGATTGGCCATACTCTGAGGAAACCATCAAGTGACATCACTAGACAAGCCATTGCTCGAGTGGAACCCGAAAGGGAAGCGGCGAGTTGGTCGTCAGTGCAAGGGTGACTTGGAGGAGGTCATGTGAAGAGGAGATGAAAACGTGTGGGCAGACATGGAGCCAGGTGAAGACTCTAGCAGAGAACCGAACGCAATGGAGACGCACGGCTGAAGCCCTATGTTCCTCTAGGAATTAAAGGAAACAATAATAATATAATGTATCTCCTTTCATATCAGTACATGAAGACTACAGTTAAAATAAGTTCTAACTTTAAATTTTACTGCATGAAGTAAACAAAATAAGACATAAGGCGAGAATATAGAAACCAGTTGAAGCATATACAAAAGTATCAGTAAAATCATAAGAAACTTTCAATGAAATAAAGAATAAGTATGTCCGCACCTCCACAACAGACTTTTATTTATATTACCAATAGTTCATGAACTCTTTATGTATAGGCGAGTCCAGTCAAGAAAACAGAACAACAATACAGAACTTGGAGAAAAAAATACGGGTTTCTCATGAATCTTCCCAGTTAATATACACCTTTTCTCAAATTGTCAGCTAACATTGTGCGTTATGGTTGTCAATAAACAAATGTGATGATTAGCACAACACCTCAGTAGTTCATGTCTTTATAATCAAACAAAAAGGTTAAAACTTTTGAAGGCAGTAAAGAGTAAATAAATCTACATCAGTGTGAATAGTTGTGTGGGAATAAGAATCAGTGACTTTAACATCTCGAAAGCCTGGATTAATAAGTCTATACATCGTACTATGAAGAGTTATAAGAATCAGAAATTTCTTGCATTAATGCCCAGTCTTATTCCAATCATGTTTGATTTTTCCAAACCTAATCATAATCGAACTTTCTACTTACCTGTCTTGTCATCTACTTATTTAGTAGCTATTCTTATTTTGTTGTACATCACTCTATGGCCGCCGATTACACGGTTCTCATTTCTTTTTCTCCCCATTTTGGTGTGCTGATATTTAATGCATGAATCTACACCATCGAGCAGCAGTTTTAGGACAATGGTTACACAAATAACTTTTGGTATGTATTTTAAATAAACATGAATTAATCCCAGGCCATTTGTGACGGACTAAAATCCTATGATCTTCAGGTGGTGTGCATACCGACTCAGCATTCATACTATGAAACTAGGCTCTCATTTCAAAAGGAAGCTTACAGGTGTTTTATAAATGATAATTTACGGAATCCTACAAGCTCCTTTCCAGGTGTGTTCTTGCCAAGTAAATCTCCTTGTAAATAACAAAATTACATAAGTGAAATAGACAGTCAATTCGAAGGTAAACTGCAAATCACCTCTTTGATTGTTTTGGTGAATATTAAAGTTTTTTTCTCTACTTAGTCTCTTTCCTAATCCGTACTTTGCTAATCACTGTGTATTACTCACCTGTAACATAGAAGAATTTGTTTATCCTGCGTTTTATAGAATATGGTGTGAAATGATCACAAGTCACTTCATAAACTCCCCGGCTCATTTTGAACAAATTCAATGTACGATAACTAATCTCAGGATGAAATAATGGTGGATATAACTCTAACATCATTATTGGTTTACTGTACTCCTGAAAATTCGAAATACACATGAGTGTTTGGTTACGCCACAACAGATTAAAATCAGGCAGGAATTTCAAATCCACATCCCCTTTAAAAAAAATTAAATAGTGAAAGATAAATACTCCAGTTCAGCTAAAAATTTAATAAGGGCATTTTTTATCTTAGTTTACCCTTGTAAATTAAAGATATCTTATCCTAATTTTTGGTTCTTTACAAACTCATATCCTTCATTGTCTATAGCATCAATCTTCAGACTATCAGTTTCTGTGTGGATCACGTTATAAATTGATCTCTAGCGCTGGATAATCACTCACGAGATCAGATGATAGAAACTGCATGTCAAGAAGTAGCTATTCTTATAAAACATGAAATGTTGGACCGCAATATATTGACTGACCAGTTGTTTGAACCCTATGAAACTTGATGATCTCAAGGTCTATTCCACCTGTGGTTAGGGATTTTGCACTACTACGGCAGTATAGCGACGTGTTATTCATAGATATTAAGTCAAAAATAGGCAAAACTTGGACTTCAGATACTTAATAGGCCTCACATATGTTTAAGTGGTGCAAATCTACCCTTGTAACCGTAGAGTCAGCAGCACTACTAAAAACAGTCATTTTGAATGGATGAGTTTGTGTCAAGTATCACAGAGTTTCAGCTAGTTTAAAAGAGATAAGTATACAACTAATTACCTTAGTGTTAAATATATGAACTGATATGAATTTCGCATATCTCTACTCAGATGATGAATAACACATCTTTCCATCGGGATATTATTCACAATAAGAAGATTTATTTGATAGAGAAATACTTTACAATGAATACCTAGTGAAATTATGAGTGTCATAGCTGAATTGACAGAGTGCTGGGTTGGTAATTCAGAAAGAAGTCTCTGGATCAAATCCTATAACCACCCAGATTTTCACTTCACCTTCAGTCATCAACAGTAGTCTGTTAATGCAGAGTTATCCTGAACGGTTTCACGTATATATATATATATATATATATATATATATATATCAAACTGACTGACAAGTTTTCCATTAAAGCTGTTGTTGCAGCCCAGTACCCTTCATGAGATAACTGATCACCTTTATTTTGCAAAGATAGGTGGTCCTGAAGCCATCAGCAACAATAACTGAGAAGTTGAGGCGCTTTGAGACCTTTAACTTAAGAAAGCTTTAAACTCGCGCACTAGAAATGGGAATTTGAGGGATTTCTGTTTCTAAGTGACTAATACCTTTGTTCTTGTTGATAAGAATGTTTCAACAGAAGACTTTTGAAAAATGAGTTGTTCACAATTAAACCTTTTCGTGACTGGTATAAACATTCCTATGATTTTAAGTTAGGAGCACATTCATCATTCATACTGTAATATAGACAAACATAATATGGATCCATGTCATTTATCTCGTTTTTCACATCTGATAAATCAGAAACTGTATCACAGATAATAACTGGAACTCCGTGCTAAAAAAAATATGAATTCGAAGAGAATCCTAAGCTGAAAACGGGTGACAATTACTTTGAATATGAACATCACAATGCTGCTGAGTATGTCAACCCAGTTTCAAGAGATGAACATTATGTTATAAAGTGACTGAGCATCACAAACAGCCTTTTTATAGTGTCAAACTGTTAAGATTATCACATATGCACCAACAGTAAACAGAAACTTGACTTCCTTGATAAAGGGAACCATTGAAGGTGAATCAGTACCAAGGTTGAAAAATTATAAATTAACAAGGACAAGAGCGCAAGCTATACTGACCTGTTAGATACACAAATATTTCTTTACTTAGTTGAGCGTAAGTTTCCCCCATAAATATCATAGACACCTTACAGTACAAACTGATATAAGTATACAGATTACCGGTAAATAACCAGACAACATGATCGCCTTCTACCCTCGCAGAGTCATAGGATCCATGTTTCACTTTTATGATAGATTGTATATTTGACTTCGGTAGACCATCTGATAGACAGTGAAGCGTATTCCCATACTTCTGTATACGGTCTTTTGGAGTGAAAGTTATTCTGGTTAAATTTCCTGAAATAATCAGAAGTAGAAATAATCTCATACTAGTCTTCATCATAGACTGATACGAACTAGAGAAGTAACCAATAAAAATCAAGCAGCAGTAAGTATTTATTTTGCCTTAGTTCACCACTCCATAGACTTGTGGATCTACGACCTTACGGTTTGTGCAAAACTGAAAGTTCGTGGTTAGTAGTAACAAGTAAAGAAGTAAGCATTAAATATCTTGGCATTTTCATCTTATGTCAAATACTTTTTGGGAAACGCAACGACAGAAATTTGACTTACTTTGAACAAAAAGAAAACCTAAGTCATTAACTTTTCAGAAACTTATGTATTACCTCACATAGACAGCCTGTTAATTAGCATAAATACATGGCTGACTGTTGTATCCATATCAGGTTTATCGTCCACTGATCGGCTGAAACTTGATCCCTGTATCTATTAATGTCGTTGCAATTATTTACGCAGTCCCTTCAAACCAACGGCCATTTGTAAGGACAATGACAACAAGTTTATCTGCAACTTTTCTGTTTAGCTCACTCCTGCATATGGTTACAGTTGCTTTTCCCGGCTTCTTTCATGATGCACATTAACCCAGTATACTAATGAATGAGTGATAGCGTTACAAACTATGATTAAACTTGTAGACATACAGATGAATAAAATGGAATAAATTTCCAGAATAAAATTATGCACAAAAGTGCATCAGTTCAAAATGACGTCATTGCGAATAATCATAGAATTAACAGAAGTCGAAATACAGTATTAAAATTAAAGGGTAAGAAAGCAGATGAAGACGAGTAACAAACAGAAAAGCTTTATGTGTTAATGGTTGTGCGCGGGTGGTTATTACTTCCTGGTCTCCCACACCATGGGAGTTGATTTACTCGTGAAATACCTGAAATAGAAACTGTCCATCAGCCGATCACACATGACCTGCTTGAAATGGTAATCAGAGTTATGTCAGTATGAAGACGTTACCATCGGCTATAGATCTCTGAAAAATAAGTCAGGATGTACAGTTCTTGGGACTGACCTTTTCTAAACCCATTTTTCCAGATCAGGAAAGTAGCATAACTGGCTTACTGGCCGTTTAGGGGAAAAACCTTACTGTTGTTACACCTACATTAGCCGTTAGTACTACTTCGCATTTTGACCTCCATCACAGCGTAAACTAACTCATAACACAATGATAACTGCTTTTTGCTCATGCAATAGTAGGACTTGTAAAAATATTCATTCTAACCAGTGCATCTTGTTGGTTCATTTTGATGCTCAAGCCCAACCATCGCATCAAGATAACAGCTATTAGCCGAGAGACAAATTCACAAGTACAAACAGCAGAGGATCTGAGAGAACAGTTCTTTTGTACTCATCGCCACATTTTGTAGTACAGCATTCAAGAAAGAAAAAGGAAACAAACACCGAAGTAAAAATGATAAGCTGTTCTGAAAAGCATCAGGATACAAAAACAATAAAACTAGATTTAAACCTAATTTTTAGATTAATGTCAGTAAAACGTTTGAGCATTGTGGAATAGATTAAATAAAGTATAATTATATTTCAGTGGTTTACACACAATGATAAGTTTTTTTTATTGGTAATATTTCGAGCAAAATTACTGCCCGTGTTCATACCACTGTTGGAATTGTTTTGTTCACACATCCATGATTTGTTCTCATATGTATAGTTCATTTTTTGTTCATTCATTTTTGTGCATTCAGAATTATATTCCAGGTTATTGACAGTCGTACTGAGTCACCCTTGTTACATGTAGCCGGCGTGACCTTAAGATTTTTAGATTTTTGTCAAGATATGCCTGGAATACAACAATTTGACAGACAATTCTTTTTCCTTTTAGGAAATAGTTCGTTCTGAATTAGATATTGAATCAGATTCTGTTAATTAATCTTCGACTTATAATGAAATAAATATTAAGACTGATAGGTATCAGACAGAATGTGACTTTTTAGGTCAAGCATTCATAGTGTTATCATGAAATTCGATGAATAACTTACACTGAAAGTACTGTCATCATTTTTGCCATGCAAATCACATACCTTGAATTTCAATGGAATTCAGAATTCAATTTAAAGATGAGTGACTGTCACATTGTATAGTTTCAAACATACACACCAACTTGCAATTAACAGTGTTCTCTGTTAAAAGGTATTAAAAATCCAGTTAAGAATAATTTCTTACACTTCTGTTGTGGCGAACTATATGATGTCAACTGCCTCACCTCAAATACGCAGACAAAAGTGATTAAAAAGCATTTTAAAAATTTCGCTTATATGAAACTCTAAGGAAGCCAGATAACTTTTACCTGATGGATATTGATCCAGTACATCAGACAATGTAAAGTAGGTAACAAAACGATGGGGTTAGTGTTCAAATGATTGGAATTGTTAATAAATGTGCAACGACAGAAGACAGTGGCCAGACAACAGATCGTTTATTGAGAAAACCAAGAGATATTTATAGATATTTATGTACATTATTATTAGAGTTATTGTTAGCAGAGAATCAGCGTCTCCTGATTGGTTGTTTTCTTGCTGAAGGTTATTCTGTACTGCTTCTGACCGTTTCTTAGAAAGTTAAGCCACATATCTGCGAATCGTATTTGCACACGTTAAGTCTGCTGTGATTGGTTGGTGAGTTCCTCAAGGTTAAGCTTTGTTACTGTTCTTTCTCATGACCTCGATTCGGGACGTAAACACTGACGTCAACTGTTGTCTGTAATTTTGGCTTGCAAACAGCTCTCACCACAAATTTAATCATGTAAATGACGGCAATATGAATTTCGAAAGAAATACTCGCAGCAGAAAATGATACTAAACCACATATCGAGGTATTTTCAGAAAGTTCATCTCAATACGAATGACTCAGTCTAGAATAACTACCTATACGGTAGAAATCTGAATGTATTTTTATCTTCCATGTTTATCTTATAAAGTTCAGTAAACGAATATTCATTATACGTTTTTAAATTGTTAAGTGGACCTGTTCGTCTTTCTATCTCAGTGTGATTTAATTAGATCACTGATTCATTATGAAAACAGTTATTGAATAAGTCATAAGAATGACATTAAAAATTTCGCACATACACAAGGACATTGATTGCCCTTCAGAGAAAATCAATCATAATTATCTCTGTTAATTTTTGATAACAGACACAAATCCTTACTGAATGGTTGACACAAAAGTAAGTCAGGTCGACCTGTGAGGCTTCGAAATATCACATGCACAATGAAAAAACAAAAAACAGAAGTAAAATGGTCTTACAATTAAGATCACTCCAAGAGGAGCACGGTGGGTACGTATGTATAACAAATGTCCTAGTCACAATAACTGGCAATAATTTATTATCTCATAAGCTTACTTCTCTTCATTGTTTAATGCCACATCTAATCATGTGATATGAAACTGACAAGTTACAACGACGGAATACTGTAAACATCTATCAACAAAAAGCTAGCATGCAACGGATAAGTTAGAGACTTCTACAGCTGGATGCTTTTAGACACAAAGCAGAAAGACATCCGTTTACCACTCCATACAGTCTGTAACATCTACACTCCTGAAACCGCCGATGAAGAATCAAATGCTATTAAAACATTCATACCGAAAACGTATTATGAGCGTCTCGTCCTTAAAAATTTATTTTACTATAAGTTGGAAGATGATCCAGGCCACCGAGTATCACTAAAAATTGCATAGTTGTCTTCTTAAAGTTGAAACGATAAAATTTGGTCTTAGTGGCAGAGGTATAGCAATTCGTACTTTTAAACTGGATATAAAGGAAAGAAATTTACTCAGTTATTAGGTCCACACTAAAAACATTTTAGAACTTTTTCCACTGACCTAGTTACTAGTTTATCAGGCGACCTCTCCTTGCCACAATTATGTCTTTTTTACATTTCCAAGTTTTAGCTGTCACCTATGTCCTATTATTTTAACCATTTTTACTTCTGTGCTTGTCGGAGAAAAATAATTGGTTCACAGGACATCTGTTTCCTTAGAATCATGGTCCCTGTGTGCATTTTCAATTTCAAATAAGACTTTACCAGCCCTACGCGGTCGACTCGCCATCTTTAGATGATAACCAAACATCCGTGTACCTTCCATTAGTGTGTGAACACCTTTATTGAACAAAAACATGCTAAAACACTTTATTGACAGAAGTTATCTGCAGCAAACAGCTAAATACGTTATAACGACAAGTATTGGCACGTTATAATTTAACGAAACTTTTTAACTACTGAAAAGTAGTATAATTTCCCTGAAAAAGATTCCAGAACAGCATTTTGAAAATGCGTTGCTTTAATGGAGTTTAGTTAAAACAACTAGAACCAATTGTATTTTTGTTTGACAAACTTAATGAAGTCTAATAGCCTGATGCAAATTAGATTCCATTTAACCTTCCTGTATACTACCACATGATCTTGAATGTTCAAAGTCAGTAATAGACAGGGTGTTACTTCCAACTGCATTCACTTATTTAAAACATAAGTATTAGAACTAAGTGATTAGGACGTATTAATGAATCTTAGAAGCAAATTTTGAATTTTATAACCTAGATAAGAAAATTATAGAAGTCATGTTTTTTATAATTTTAAATATGCATTGCCTTCAATCTCGATTTTCACAGTAAAATTTTAAGTATTGTCTTTTAGTGGGGAATTCGTTACCATCCCACTTGAAGGAGTAAGACCTCGGTAAGAAGTGATTTAGTGTAAATAAAGGATGGATTAAGCTAACAAACAAAGCAAACAGGTAAATGAGCACTTTAAAATGACTAGGGTAGGCCAGTCTCAATTGTTATTTGCGCATTCTTCCAAAGCATCTGATAATATAACCATCGTGATAATTCAAATAGCTTTCATTTAGTCAAATAACCTTTTCAACCCGAAACGGCAACATTGTGGGACATTGGGAGTTGAATTCCAAGGCGATAACTACGCAATTGTGTTCTCATCATAGAAACTAAAAGTTCTGAGATAGTTCTTAAGGTAGATACTTTTACCAACGGAAACTCATTGTTTATATCGACCGCTCCATAGTGAAAATTGTGAAAAAAGCAGTATTTCATATCAACCTATATATTCTGACGAGGAGCTATAGAGTCTGTATGTGTCTATATTTTATTAATGTCTGTGGTGAATTTTCCTACAGAGGAGAGCCTGGGTATCAACTTCAGAGGTAATTCGAGTAATTTTCTGCTGGACTTTGTCGGTATACCAGCTTAGATGTCAAAAACCGCCCAGCACGAAGTCTTAGATACGGGTTTCCTTATTGCTACTAGTCACCCTCAGTGTGCATCTGCAATCTTGATAACCCCATGTACCACCTATTGTTCCATTCTGTGTCTTTCAGCCCCAAAGTTTTCTTTGCCAGCTAGTGATTAATTCACAAATTTTCCTGATAACAAATGCAAACAAAGTTAAGGGATTAGCGCGTTGTCATCACGAGTTTATCATGCTTTCAATGTATGCATCAATAAATTTATTCAAAGATAATGTGTCCTCTAAAGGCGTGGTATGGACTTCCAATTAATTATGTACTGAGGGTATTTATTCCTGAAGAACTGTATATCAGAATAGAACAGCCACTCAGTCTTTTGTAGCTCCTAACAGTCGTTAATTTGGTTTTAATTCATTTTGAAAAGTATTACAGAACAGTTGCCAGTTAACTTACGAAATCTTACATAAATGAATAACCTGGATTTACACGTATATCCAGAAGTAAGACGGCATTGGAATGTGTTCTGACCAGCTATGGAGGAATCACTTGCAGCTATCATTAAAACTGAAGTATCTGGTTGCATTATCTCATCATATCCATTTAACTTTCGCCATTTCAAATCATATAACGTACTTGTCCATCTAACGATACACTTGATTGGTCCAATTGAAATATTTTGGCCGTATGTATAACTTATTGGATAGTCACTGTAAAACTCGAGACGGATATCTTCATCATCAGAGATGGGATAATGGGGTGTTACCACAGAGGCTACCGCTTTGACACTGTTGTCCGGTGCTAAAAAATGTGAGTTGGAAATGAACAAAATTATATATATATATATATATTCTTAACTTTCTAGATAAAACACCATGTATTCCCTAAAGTTTTGGTGTTCCGAGTATCTAAACTGCCCACTAATTTTAGCCCTCTGATTTTATTCCTACGTTGATAGCTAAACTACTTTTCACTAATCAAATTATAGCAATATTATGAACTGCATTGCTTTATTTTAGTTACCCATACACATTAACTGACTGGTATCCGAAGATAAACTCTTATATACAAAATTAAAATTATCTTTTCGTAAGCTATCAGTGAAAATGACAAATTGCTGTGGCTCATAAGGTTTGTTTGGTGAATTAAAATTTATGCGCTACAGATATCTGTAGTACAATGATTTCAAAAAGCTATAGGTACGGCAACGCGAAACTATTTACATAACTTGTGAGGTAAACTGATAAGGCGTCAGGGAACAAAGGTAGGCCACATTCACTAAATTCTTACTAATTTCTTATGCAGTGGACAACACCTGTATTTTAATGTTCGTTTTTTTTCATGTAATAGTATTGTGGTGAAAGATGGTCGCTAGCCAAATTGGTTGACAGTAATTGAGGTCAAAGGTCAAGGTTGCCAGGCGGATAAAGTTAACATGTAGTTGAACTGACACAGCCACAAGATATGCAAGGTTAACTTTGTGTGAGAAGCAACCAATCAACAGACTGCATTTTCTACTAACATTGACCTACAATAATGTACATAAAAATCTGTAAATACGTGTTGATTTTCCTAAATAAACGATCTGTTGCCTGGCCCTTGTCTTCTGTTGTTACAGTATCATCATTCGCACTAACGTTTTATGCACACTGTCTTCAACAATATTTTATTATTTACATTTTAGCAGTCCTTCATGCTTGCCGAAGGGATTTCAACTTTATCACCGGTAAGATATTATTTCCTATTTCGTATGTAAATAATCCTTATATAATAACCTCATTAATCTGTTGCATTTTTCCTTTACAGGAAATCAGTAGTGACAGTGACAGAGAGAATACAAAGGACAAGCCGTAATTTTCAACATGACAACATTACTTCTACTCCAGTATAATTGCGTATATACGTTTTACTACATATGAAAGATATATATATATTTATACTTTTTTCTATTATTAATTATGTTTTGTGGGTGCGATTCCATGTTTCTGTAAACAGCGACTATGGATGATTATCGGTGAAAACAAGATCGGGAAATTTAGGGAGTTTCAGCAGAATTTGGGAGACTTAGGGGTTTCCCGGGACAAAAGTTTGAGCTTTTTGGGCAAAAGGAGGCATTTCCTCGACATTTTTGCATCCAGTTGCCTCTAAATTGCCCCAAAATGTTTTGTTTGGGATTGAGCACGATATTTAAAGTGACCCCAAAATAGCGAGCAGAATAAATTCAGAAGACGATTTTCACCGGAAATCATATCCGTAAACGGCCATAAACCACTTGGTCTTATTTGATATTATGGTTACATACTGAAATATTCTGCATTCAGGGCTAGCTGACGATTCTCCAAATCAGCGGAAGGCTTGGGAAAAGTGCACAATGCTAGAAGGACGTCAGCAAGGTTTCCGTTAAAATATGTACACCATGTAGGCAAGGTTCACAAAGAGAAACGGTAATTTCATCGACCCGCTCCAAACCTATTTAACATAATGACGGTCAATAGCTGGTTTCTTCACTTCGGATGACAACTCTGCGTGAACTGAATGAATTCAAATTGGATGCTTTAATTAACATAAATTCTCGTTACTTTCTTCAAACTATGCCACAATGACTGCTGATCCGTTGAGTATTGGACGCCTGTATGGATGTCTGTACTTCCGAATCTTTAGAAAAACAAAGATAATACAAGTACACTTTCGTCGAGATCTGAAACCTATTCAGTGTTTCCTTGTAGTGTTTTGATCAACATAACTTAATCCACCTACAACTGATTCATAGTTAGAAATTGAAACATGTTTTGATTGATGAAGTTAAATTCTTGAAAGAGGCCACAAGTATATTTAGCCAAAAATCTCTGGATTTCATTCTGTAGTATTTTTGTTTCAAAAGTTGCTTCGGTGATTTATGCACCTATTACTCATGCCACTCCATCTGCTCCTTTCTGTTCATTGTTTTCAAGCGCCGAGATTGTTTAGAAGTAATTATTTAGCGTAGTACTGCTTGGAATACTTGCAGTCGATCGGTATATCCCGACTTCCAAAGTAGAGTCTACAGACGCCACCACTTTCGGCTCAGACTTACAGCCGGTGCCAACAGAACCATAAGTTTTCAATCTATTGTCATAGGAAGTAATGTTACAGTAATAAAGATCTGAGGAATGTCATCGTCCTTTCATTCTGTGCATTCACAACATTGCCGCATAATTTCGTTTGATAAGCTTCTTCGCAATCATTATAAATTATAGTGGACAGTTTATGTGATGTCGCACTATGTAACAAAGAAAATCTCGACAGTAGAGTAGAATAACAGTAGTTGAATTCTCTCTCTCTTTCCAAAGACACTCTATTGGTCCTTATCCAATAACTATGATGTTTTTAGAAGCAGAATAATTTGGTTAAGAGAATAAACTAAAGTGAAGAAGCTATCCATAGATAGAACCAGTTTAAGAGAAGTGATGTTTTACAGAATTAAGTGCTACCTAGATTTCATTTCCAGTTTGTAATGTCGTACAGAAACTTCACTTTGTCCCTTCTTAGTGATATTAACTCAGAAATCTACCTAGACCCAGTCATTTCATCTACTTGACTGAAATCTGACATTGTTAACGTTAGCCATACCGATTTATCTTCGTTACATGTGGGACAAATTATAATGTTCCACTGTCATAGGAAAGCATCGTTATCCGATAACAAACATGTAAATAAGTTTCAACCTATAATAGTACGTAAGTGACGTCCGACAAATCACTGTACAAACTTGCAGCGACGTGTAAAAGTACAAGTTACCGCACTCCGATATGGCACTCCACCTGTATCTGCTATCTTGGCATGGTGGTTGACCTTGCATTTCGTAATTATCCAACAAGCGACTCACGTTGGCACGAATGTTTCTATAGGCTCTATTACTCCAAAAACTTCGTATGAGTAGGGGTTAGATTAAAATTAGTTACTTTCTCGTGGGATTTTGTTGATGAAGTTGTCCTGCTTACGGGTCAGTGTTTAACAGAAGTAGGACGTGCAATCTTATCCCTTTCACCAAAGAAGGAAGTCAGTATACACCCTAATCCGTCTTATTCGTCATCAAAATACGACCAGAAAGTAAGTAACTCACTTTAAATTGATAAGTGCTCTTAGTTTAACTTTTCCTGAAATCCGTATCCAGCAGTAAGATTCTCTTTCGAAACAGAACTCTAAAAACTGCAACTTCAAACTGGGTGTACAACCGATCTCAAGCAGTTGTCTCCTAGACTCTGTGGCCACATAGCTCATAAATTTCTTTTATTCGCCACCCATCCTCCTCATTCTTAGCCAAATAGTTTCCTCACATTCTGTAAAACTTGTGACCGGTGGTAGCAAAATAAGCCACAGAAGCGTTGTCTCCATATTCTTAAACCCATGACACTAACTTCATATTTTCACTTCCAACGCACAGGGCTTATGACAAGTCAGAATACAGACACCTCAGGCTTTCAATGGATACGTTTACAAAAGCCAATTAAAGCTGTTCACTTAACCCCCACCTGATCAACATGGTGAATTTATACAGTTCACTTAATTTTTGTAAGGACACTCTTTGGTTACTTCTTCTGGACTTGCTGCTACTTGAATGAGTCCCAGTGAATAGTTGTCCAGCTGGGTGATTCCATGAGAATATGTTAAGATTTTGACATCCGTTGATGTCTACTTGTAATCTCCACTTACGCCATAATTGGCTGCAGTTCAGAAGAAGTGAAAGACAAATTGCATGAGAATATATCTAGCTTGCTGAAAGCAACAAAACATTTAAATATGGTCATCTTAGCAGTAGCTTTTAGTGCTTATGTAGGGACGCTGATTCAGTACGAAAGGTATCCTGGGAGAATATATGGAATCCAACACCAAAAAAACAAGAACTGTGGCGGAGTTTCACAGTTCTTCTCAGGAAATCACCTGTTCCTAGACAGAGCTAGTTTCAAACACAAGGAGATACTACCTCATAAAGTGACTTCCAATGTCGAATAGCCCAACAACAGGTTGATAGGGGAGACTGTAGGCGTAAGATTACCGATAATGCTTCAGGTCTTGGATGTGCAAGCCTGTAGCTGAAAGCATGTTAAAAATAAAGGATTGTCCGGATTCTCGGTGAGAACGTGAAATCCACATTTAACAAGCAGATAAAGAAACACATTCCAGAGTGTGTCAACGACACTCACTCTCTGATATTATTTCTGCTACCATTTATTCCTTGTGATTCAACTGAAACGTAGGACATAAGCAACACTTTTACTAAAGTCGTTGCTAAATCAGCGCTCTATACAGCCACTACAAGTTTCCATTTCCACCTCACATAGTTTTATCTGTGTCACACTCGAAAGTCTGTCTTGTCGCTTCCCATTCGAGTTTCACTCAATGGCCTGATGTGAGATGTCACTCTGTGATCTCCTCAACGTATGTCCAATCAATCTGTGTTTCATTCTGCATATCTGTTGAGTAACAGGCTGTTAACTGCTCCGCTTACTGCCAGTTCCTTGCTGCTTATGATTTTTGAACGACCATCTGACCTAAAGTATTGAGACGCAGAGGCAGGTGTTGATGAAAGTTAGTGCCAAGTCTCTGGACTATGCAGAGGCACTGACATGATAATCGTATTGAAATATCGTATCATATCGTTGATGCTGAGTGCCGTAGATCTACACACTGATTTCAGAGTAACGAACGGTTGTACTGATTCCTCGATTCTATTCCGACCGGTTTCAACATTCACATACACGCCGCTTACCTATAGTTGGAACGACGGTGTTCAGTTCAGGTGACTGAAAAAGACAACTTCCTTTCGGTTTCTGCCGTTGAAAGTGACTTGCAATTTTTGCAGTAGATGTTGTTGTTGGTTGGCTGGTTGTGCAATCTCATCACCTCTGTCTTCGGTATGTGCACCTGAATTCCTGTCTTGGCTGCCTCTTCCGTCGACTTATTAGTCACCGCTTGTAAATCTTCGAGTTTGTGAGACATAAATTCACGGTTGACGCTGCACATATCATTTTGAAAGTTGATCAAGTTAAGGCGAAGAGTCGACTTCCACTTTAGGTTCGGTCGATTATGTGTAGTGTTGTAATTCGATTCGCAGGCTAATTTTTCGCTTGAATCCTGTCTGTTCTAGACGTATTTGTGTGTGCAGGGCATCTCTCGGAATTTTCAGGGAAAACGTGACTCAGTATTTTTTGGAGTGGGCAGGAGCATGATTCAGCGTTTATTCTTGCATAAATTTTCTATTGTATCAGCTTGACAAGTTAGTCTTTCCTCCAGTTGTCAGGTACCTTTCCTTCCTTGAACTACTTCGCTCCAGTGGTGTGAGGATATCCATAATTCCATCTGATCCTATTGTTTTCTCAGGTTTCGAAAACTTTCTTATCCTCAAGACTTGTGATTATCTGCTTACTAGCGGTTCTGTGCATGCTGGTGGTGTTGGTTTTTTCTCGACAAGCTGGAGGTTTGGTCTCTCTAAGAAACCTTGGGAGTGATCACACCGGCGTTTACGCTGTCCACCTCTCGGGTAACTGAGTCTCTTTCATTATCTTTCACTGGCTTCATCCCCACTGAACTCTTCTGGGAAAGCCATCTGTTTATTTGATATGGTGTTGTGAAGTGTCTTTTGATTGCAGCGTGTTCTGTTTCGGTTGCTGGTGTATCATGGGGGCGTCGTTTGCCTTTCTAAACAATCTTCCTCAATCCTGGGTTCACTAGTTTATACTTAGCTTTCCCTTTCGTTGTTCACCTTCTCCTCCTCTCCCTTAACATGTAACTGTTCATAGAGAGCCATTCTTTGTTGAACCTTAGCTTCTTGATTGAGATTTCAGTTATATGTGACATTCGGAGAATTCTAGTGTTCTTCTACGAAGGTTTCTTGGGTAAAACTACTAAATACCTAACACTCTTGATGAATGTAGTCGAAGTGTTCTTAGTAACTTTGCTCTTCGATTTGTGAGTCTTGAGTCGGAGTTCAGCTTCTCTAAACTCGTCAGAAGCTTTTAACTTGATTTTGAAGGTTCTCTGCAGTGGATAGGGGTCTGAGCTAACATGTACTGATCTTCTACATCTAACGTCCACTAGCCTGCTTCTTTAATTTTTCAAGATGAGATTTGACTGAAGTATATGCGATATTTGGTTTGTCCATCCAGTGAAACCAATGTTGCCTTGTGTATTTGCTTTATTTCAGTACGCACTGCATCTTGTGATCTAATCATTGCGGAAGCAGAAATCTGCAAAGATTTCTTTGTTGTAATTCATAAACCAAGCCCCTCTTGTTGGAACCTAGGTGATTTCTTTTCATGTTTAATCTGTTCTCAGTTTAGCTGGCATTCGTGCCACTAGTACCCTAGAGTTTCGATATCACCAGCCAGCTAGGGTCTAGTGGATTACCGCTTGCAGTTGATTTTTATAGAATTCCTCTTTCTTCTCCAGTCGGTTTGTTGTTTGTAGGTGTGTAGCGTTGTATAATTGTGATTTCCTTTCCACTTAGTTTGAATATTGCTATCATGGTCGCGTAGAAGATAGGTTCCGGCTACATGATAACTTTCGATGATATTGTTGGGATGATGATGGGCTCATCCTCAGTCTGCTCGTAGTTGTCGTCTGAACCATCAGGGTAGATTATTCACTCCGCAGTTAACAATCTAGGTAATCAATTTCGATTTGGTGTGCTTTCACAGATTCTATCACTTAATTGCTATTCACATCTCCTCACTTCTTCTGCCATGTGAGCATGAAATATGGTGGCGACATCCTATGTCAAAATGCATTCTTTTTGTTTCATTGGAGGAAGTCGATTAGCTTCCTTAAGTGTCTGACCAGCCGTTCGTTCTTCCTGATTCCTGGTGAGAATAAGTGTATTTCTCTGTGCTTTCAATTTTTCATATAGGTAGGGTTTTCAGTGTTGTAGTGTGGTTTTGCTACTCCCACGCTGAACCTTTCCTCTTTTTTGAGCCTAAGATCGACTGAGTTGCATCAACAGTCAAAAAATTTATTTCTTTTATTCAATTATTATTATTGAAACTATTTTTAGCCCAACACTTTTTAAACTTCTTTTTTAAACTCTTGTCACTTAAATGTTTGAATAAATAAGTAAACTATTACTACGACCCAGTAAAACACTCACAATCAATTAGTAAAACTTAATACACTAACCAGTTGGTTTTTTATAAGTGGACTCCAAGATGTACATTTCATACTATTAGTAATTAATCAGCTGTATCCTATACGTGTTAGCTTACCTACTGAGACTCCTACTTAGTATTAATAGTCACATAAATTATCCTACATCCAAGTCATCATACTGACATACACGTCATCAAGTATCACTTGTTACTGCGATATTTTTGAACTTCTCTTTGTTGGTTTATAGGACTGTTGATATTTTTATTTCTTGTGAAGACACTATAATATTGTTTGCGATCATGAAGTTGTACTTTTAGTAGTGTCTACGAACAGCAGCCCATATATCGAAGTGCTAAACTCACTACTATATCTTAATAACGGGAAAAATTACAAACCCCATTTACTAATCAGCTGTTCCCTGTGACACATTTAACAAATTGCTTTTAATGATTTCACAGGATATACTGTTTATATGTGAAATACTATTTCTCCACGTTGAAATTAATCACTTACTATCAATATATATTACCTCATTAAACTCTCCATAAGCACAAATAATATTCACCATATCACTTTTCAGATTGCTTGAGGAATTTACGTATAGAACACCATGTTGAATTGTTATCTTATCGTTGGACACAGTACAGTCATCTACTGGAAAGACGACTGAATTCATTTGTTCAACAGTGAGATGTCTTAACCATACTGATTGAACTGGCAAACGCCAGATACACATCCGATATGACTGTTCAGTGATATTGAAGCTGTATGATAATTTGATAATTAACGGTTTTGATGAACAATCCAAGTACAATTTACCATCGGTTAAAATAAGCTTATACTCAGTTACAATTTCTTCATGCTTTGTCGAGTTAACTTGACGTTTACAAGTTAGTGCATAAATTCCATTGGTTAAATTACCCAACTCAATTGAATCATTAAACGGTTTACGCTCATAGTTCTTATCATAATTACTACCATTATTACTATAATCCCACTGAATTATATGACACTGCCAGCCGGATGAATTAAGGTTTTCACAAATGTGTCTATTAATACCATCACAAACTTGGATTTTTCTATCCTGTGTCTTATAAAGAACAAAATTGTCAGGCTTAAAATATGGTGGACTGGATAACAAATCAACCTTGTTAGTGCTTCGTGATAATATTAAGAATATAAACACTATCCACAGAAAGCAAGCTTTAATTTCTTTCATCGGGTGTTAAAAATAAACATTTGTAGTGAACTATTTAAACGGATAAATCACGTGATCTAAAATCGACTTCTCTCCAGACTACGAAGGCTTAATTTTGAAGACAACATTAAACGCTTTAATTGAAACTAAAGCTTTATTTAGACAAATGACGGTCTGATTCGCGGGAGAATTAAGATAATTAACAGATATTATAAACCACTTTTCGATAGAGTAAAGACTCACCAGAGCTTTTCAGCTCAAAATCTGGACAGGGCAAACCAATAAGATTCCTTAATACAAAAGAAGTGATTAATGAACCAGTGACTTTTTCCTGACCATGACAGGCACAAACTATTGTCATCAGCCTCAAGTAGCCCTATAAAATAATCTGAGAAAATATTTTATGTCCGAATACTACATTCCTGTTGAAAGTGATTTTCTTTATATGTACAAGAAACTTACTAATATTTTCTGCTTCTCTTGTTCTCCTCGTTTAAATATCTTTATGTGGAGATTCAGTTAGACACTGAGTGTAACCGCATAAACAGTATGAAGACATAGAGTGTGAGTAAACTACTAGAAATACTTATAAGGCTGTCATTCCAAAACTTCTAAACTATCATAAGCCTACAAGGCTAAGGATGAAATCCCGCAGTTGACGAACACTATGTGTTCACCTGCTTTTGCGGAGGTAGGTAATATAGATCGTTCGACGCCAGTGGTTAGGGAGCTATAAGAAGTTCAGTAAGTGAATATCTGGTTGACACAATCTCTTCCTTTAGATTTATCTGTGAGACAAACATAACCTTCAAGATTCATTACGTATTCAACTCGTCAGTACTGCTAAAGCTCTACCTACCGAAACAGAGAATCTACAGCTCTGCTAACAGCAGCCTGTTCAACCATCCTTCCTTCCACGGTTTTAATCCGTTTGCATTAGATTCTTACAGTCTTTACTTCTTATTTGTCATCTGTATGGAAAAGAGGAAGAAAACACTTATTTTTCGTTTCGCTGAATTAGTGTGTACATAACCCTGATTATTACGACTGTTATTGCTGTTTTCAACTTGAAGTTCCCTGTAGTATTTTATTTTATTAATTCAATAATATCAAACTCCGGACCTTGTTACATAACGTTTAGTTTCCTTATTAATCTTAGTAATTTTGCACTTCTCTTCAAGATTTAGGCATAACCCATTTTATCGCTTGATGTTTAACTATGATTGTTATTATTATCAGCATGCAGACCTACACCATTCGACACAAACAATAAGCCCCAAAATTTTAACACGGATATCAACATAGTTAAGAGACTTGGCGCGCGTCATCATAAGCAATTTTAACAGGCTTTCATCAACATCTGTTTCCAGTGTCTCTTAACTCACGAACAGCTGGCTGGCCATACATGGAAAGCGAACAAGCCAACAAGCTACTACTCAACAAATATTCAGAATGAAATGAAGGTTGATTGAATACCTGTTGAGAAGACAGTTGAGTGACATCACACTACAGGCCCTAGAGTGGAACTCGAGAGAGGGGCGTGAGTTCGACATGGAGGAAATGACGGGAGGACACGTGTAGACAGTCAGGATGCCAGTGGAAAATTATTCCAGGGAACCAAGCGCAATACACATATGCTGCTGAAGTCTTTCACTGCACTCAGAACTCAAGGTAACGGTTAGTAATAACAATAATGAAGGATCTCCATCCTAAGAAAGAAGGATGACCATGCGTTACAACTTCATCTGATAGGTAAAAATCGATATACCACATTATGGTTGATGATTGTGTGATATAAAAAATTACTCTAGAGTGTATGTGAAAATTCATTTTTGATAAGGGATATATATATACGCTACAATCTATGTAGGAAAATTATACGTGAAAGACATCTTTCACCATGCCTAAAAGTATATAAAAAATGAGAACAGGCTAAGTAGTCAGTAAAACGTGATTTTACACTGCCAAAAGAAGCTTGAAGTCATGTGTTTTTCACTATGAAGGGTGATATATATAGCTACCTTTTCAAAAAGATAGAAGGCTAATAAGACTATGGCGGCAGCTGATCTAGGTAAGGAATAAAAATGACTTTGGTGAAGTCGTTGGTTGTATTCCAGTTGTGACTAAAAACTGGGGGACTGAGTAGTAGCAGAATATGAGTTGTAGTTGTCCCTCAATGGAATGTCAGCCAATCTAAGATAGCCCAGAACTCCCGGCATTTCAAGGTATCTCTTCCGTCAGCCCCAAGATTTCAGGCTATGGTTATGTTAATATTTTTTATATAAGCACACAGAAACCAAGTGAAGTTCCCTACGTAACAGCAGCTGGCTAGTGCAAACGGGCTTTTGTTTTTCAAATGGGTTCTTAGGGATGGTACTAACCAATGGTTGGCTATCATATGCCTCGAAACCGTTCATTCAATAACTCATTCAACTGGAAAAGATATTCATGTGCCACAATATAAGTCACATATTGTGTGGTAACGATAACCTCTAAGTTGAAGCTGATAGGGAAATAATTCGAACGGGTACAATCCTAGGTGTACTCTTATCTTTAACATTGTGGAGGTTTTTTCAATGAATCATTCCCCTTGTTATAAACCATTCAACGTGATTTCAATGGTTTTCCCTAATTCTACAAGTCATTTTCCCAAGTGTGGCTATTATATTATCCTTTTTTAAATAGGAAATCATCATGACTGGATGCATAAACGATGTATTTTCACTGGTGAGCATTATCATAATTCGTCAAACCTTATACTTGAACACCCAACTAAACAGTGAAAATCAAATAACGTTCATATAAATAAATGACAAGAAAAAGAACTAAGGTTGGTATATCACGACAAGGATCAACTATGAAACCATTATATTTACTTTAGACTTCAGTTCACTGTATCTTGTACATCGAGGAAAAGCTGCTATACACATGCAGGATGAACAGCACAAATTCATTTTGAACAATTTTTGAACGTGAAGGATCTGCAACCTTATTCACGAAAAGTACTCAGTTTAACTGAGTACTCTTTATTCTCTTTTTAAGAATTCTACAGAGATACGTCAGCAACGAGTATCCATATGTTAATACTTTGAGTTGTACAGCTTAGTAGTGGAAACGATTCGAACAATCCCCAATGATAACAGGTTGACTTAAGTGGGAGGTTTCTGACTGTTGGGACTGAGTTTCCAGTTTGTGCGGAGACTTATGTACATTGCTTCTAACAGACAGTATTGCTCTGAGACTCAAACAAATCACAAAGAAACAAGATATCGAGAAATATAGTGATTATTGGTATAACAGGCAACTGTACATTCAAGATATAGTTTGGACTAATTCTTTCCTTTTCGTATCTACTTCTACTGCTCACGTTTCAAACATCACATGATGAGTTAGTTATATAGATCAGAATTCTCTTCAGTCACTTCAACATCCTCAACTCTTTTAACTGAAAGATTAGGTTATTAACAAGTCCCCTTACCTGAGTATATCTTTTTGTACTTGTAAGCTCTTTCTAGGCCACCCATGCGAAGGTTGTTATGCCTTCTAACCGCAAAAAACACACCTGAATTCAGTTAAAAGGAATAAAAATAAAAACTCACACACTACTGTTAAGGGGAATAAATAAACGTAATGAGGCCTTGAATGTAGAGCACGAACAAACAAGCTCTTAACTAAACACTCAGTATAAGTATATAGATAAAAATACCTTTAACTCCTACGTTCATTACTCCGAACGACCCGCCAAGTCCGAAGCACCTGACATTAAACTTCGCTCTGCACAAATCCTATATACAATATGGTTCACGACGTTGAATAAAGCCAAATGATCTCTTTGAGCTCGCTTTGCTAAAATTCTACATCGTTTATCATGCCATCAGACTATCGTAACTTTGGCTGACTTCAGGAGAATTGAGCTGTTATCAATTATATGTTGTATGTAGTATGAGGAGTGTTAATACCTTGCCACTGCTGTGAATGAAGTTGGTACTTTCACTCTAGGCCCTCAGTGTGGTCGAAAATCGAGTTAACAGGAATCAGTAACATATATGATAAGTATAGATTTTGTAGGTTATGAAGAACCGTCGGTAGTACGGTGGTAGGATGCTCGCCAACCACGAAGGTGGTTCCGGGTTCGATCCCTAGCCAACACACCTTTACCTCACTTAGCCAGGAATGAGTCTAGTAAAGGGGAAAGGCTGAGCATGAGGCTAGCAACCCCATCCCGTAAAACACACACCCCTGCTACTGAAATTTCAAGCCTCTAACATGAAGCCCTATGTTCCACTGGGAACGCCAACTAATAAAAAACTTAAAAAGCAAAAAACATAATGAATTGTGAAATTACTACACATTTAAATGGTAGCAGAATCAATAAATATGTAGATGGAGTGGCCAGAAGTGAAAGACAATTGAAGATGGGCAGTTGTAAAATACAAGTTAAAAAATATATTCATCAACAGTGAGGCGTGTGTGAATTTTAGGAAGATAGATCACTTGGAAGTAGCTACACAACCATCCAGCATCCATCTAAAGCTTTCGATGAACGGCGATGTAGCCACATGTAGGGCGAAGAGCCAAAGAGGCTGACGGTATTGACTTTCACGGATAGTACGAAGTATACTAACGCAAGATCTAATACCCACAACTTCTATAGTATTCGTTCCACGTAGACCATAGGCAAAGCAAAACATCAGAGTTGACCGTCTAAATTACGAGTTGTATTTCGGGACCGAATTGGAGTGCGAGATGATTGCTTAGCTAGCTAGGGATCGTGCACGAATGGACGAACGTGACACGACAGCATATCAAATGACGTGGATGCTTGACCGGAAGCCTTCAGCTCAACAAGTTGACTTAAACAGTGAGGGTCAGCATCCAATATTCAGTGATGAATGCTGTGGCCAATAATTTGGGGAATTACCCACCGCTAAAAACCTATATAAGCACTTTGTGATGTTTACTTTTAATGGAACAAGTTGTAAGATTTGCTTCAAGTCTAAATTTTAATCGTTCATGTGCGTATAGTCAGTCAACTTAGCGCGGGAATTACAAAAGTTTGTTATTAAAAGGTAATCAGGTAACAGTAAACAATAGACACCGAAGTCAAATGAATTTGATTTGACCAATCAGAAAACTCAGCATTATATATGGTTGCTAATGATTATCCTTGTTGAAAATGTCTCCTAAATTTGCTTTTTGACTTCTCTGTGGAAAATGTGTTGATATGGAGGAATAAACATGCATGTGTGGAGGTATAATGACTGTGCAAAATTATTGCCAGGCTATTGATGGTTATACATTCAGACGCAACCACTTAATATGAGGAAGTCTGTATAAGTTGGTAAGTCGTACATAATTAGTGATTTTCAGACGCTTCTCGAAACCAAAGCTCTGCCTTAGTAATGCATTGCGTATATGAAACCAGTATATGCTACAACCGGAGAATAGAGAACACATTGGTTTCATATGTTTATAGCCAACTCTACGAGAATCTGGGGCCAGTTTTGGCGGCATGATAGAGATATATGCCCTATATTATTCATTTTTATTACATATATATAGTAGATACACTTCTTTGTAAATTGTGTACCACTTTTCACCTAGAAGAATCTTATCGGCTCTTAAAAAATTTTCTGGATTTGCTGTCTATTCTCTGCTGTTGCCGATAAGAAGAAAGATGATACACAGATGTTGGAGTAAGACACAGAATGCCGAACTTACAATCATTATCAGTTAACTCCATTGTAGATAAGATTTTATTTTGATAAATCACACATTGTTACACAGTAATATTAACTGATGACGTTTCAAGCACAAACTTACCCGTTTATGCGAAATATATATTATTGTTATTATCGCACATAATCATATCAAGTCACTCATACAGCTTTTTACTTCCTTCCATTATTGATAGGATTTTATTTACTTCTATATCAATTTTTATTTATTACCAATTACTTACTTATATCAATTTTGGCTTCATTTATAAACATGATTGAAATTGATTAGACATTTGAATAAAAATCAGATGAGATAATGTACATTCAGAAATGATAATGAGTGTAATTGACCAATTACAATCAGATGGGAAATAAGACGAGTGTTTTTATAGTCAAAATAAGTAACTTGGTAGAATGTTGTGATGTACATGAATTGGAATAGAATTTTAAGATTATTTATTATCCTCTTCTGATTCGACTCATAATAATATCTTCCGTATCTGTGGTATTTGCGTAGAGTCCTTTCTGTTTCATGTGTTTAGTGTAGATTCGTTGAACCAGAATTCAGTAATCAAATCAGAAGAGGATAGTGAATAATCTTCAAATTCTATTCCAGTTCACATACATTATAACACTGTAATAATAATAATATACATTATTATTAAGACATGTTGTTTCCCATCTGAGTGTATTTAATTGATAACACTATTATAATTATTATTTCTAAATGTACTAGCTATTTCGAAACATAACCTCCGGCGAACGATTACATAGCGTACAGCTCCATGAAATGCTGCCTTATTTATCCAGTGGGTGTTAGGAAGTTTCAATAAGTAAGTCAAAATGTACCACCATAATTTCAAAAAAATCCAATAATATACTTCATATGAACTGTGATCAAGGTTTCACCGAATAGTACCGAAATAAATAAGGACCAAGTCCAAAGTAGTGAAGTATCAAAATTATATTTGTCAAGTTTCGAAAAAATTGAAATAAGTGGTTCCAACGTTTTGTTCCACAAACTGGTCCAATCGAAATTGAAATAACAAAGATATGTATATAACATCTCTTTTCTTTAAAATCTTTGTCCAGTCACATAGATCATGAAGCATGCCTCAAAATATAGTAAACAAAACTCCATGAACTGTGATAAAAATCTGACCTCAGACTTACAAATGTGAGCGACTTTATTGCATATCCCCTCAATGACGTTTGTCTCTATGTTGCTATTGGCTTCAAGTGGCCTTGGTTTCGGGGCGAGATTTAACTGATATGATATTGTGATTTCATAGGCATATCTCAGGCTCATACGTGAAAGAAAGTTATTATCCTGTAATAAGGAAAAGTTGTTCAGAAGGTAAGGAGGACGTTATTCTTCAGTTTATTTGTGTATATACTATTGTGCACCGAGTTGCATTGAGTTCTTAGTGCAACTGTATGTAACTGAATTTACATAAAGTGAAACATTAGGAATGCTCCTGTTTCTAGAATAAAAACATTATTACTATCATTAAGTTTAGTAATGAAGAATGGAATTTCTTCAACGTCAATGTTATTTAATTGAAGTTATAATCTGTGTAGGCCCTCGGAGGAATAAATTCGGCATGGAGATCTCCTATGTAAACCGAAAGTGCTTTTAGTTTAGTAAATCTTACTGACTTCCTGTATAAATTTGATATTTGTCAAGTGTATATTTCAAATCTGCTGGAGTATTCAGTAAAGTAAAAGTTGTGGTGCATGATTCCAAGACTTGTTGTAGTCATCGGTATTGCCAGGATACCACTTACTCGTTTTATGCAGCCGAAATATACAAATCTCGCTTTATTGAGGAAACACTATAATGCCTGCAAAAGTATTGCGTCAGTTAATGAGTTTCATAAATTCTACAGAATGTTTTCCATTCAGTGATTACTGTTTGCGAATTATCCGAGAAAACACATTTCCAATTGGGATGTAACACAAGGCTGAATTCTTAAACTGTAATCCTTATATCATTTCAATCCAATCACACATATATCAGTAGGATAGTCTACAAATGACTGTAGAGACTTATCATCATCATCAACTTACAGTTTACTGATGATTGAAAAGTGAAGTTATCAATATGGTTTCGTGAAGTTACGTTCCTGCACGACATTCCATTTACAATTTTTCGATCACATTTTACTTAAAGATTCTGGTGTGATCACAGTAACTGTATACTTAGATCTTAGTAAAGCCCGTTCGGATAACTGGTGGAGTTATACAAGGTAGTGTCCTCGGTGCACTGTTATTCCTGTTATATTTCAATGACATTTGCGATGTTATTAAACACGGCAGACTCTTTCTATATGCTGATGACGTCAAAATAGTGTATCACTCACTCAGGAATAATGTGTCATGCCTATTTGATAGGATCCAGGATGATATTGATGGAGTCCACTTATGGTGTAACAAGTGTAAAATTAAGTTTGACGTTGAACCCTTAGGGATCAGACAACTGAAGTTCAACCTGAGAATTACATTTAGATTATTGAAGGGCTTATATACTTCCCCCATGACGACTTTACTGTTGATTCACCTAAGAAATATAATTTCAGAAATAAATCTTCATCTTTCAATGTGCCCTGCTGTCATACAAAATACAGATCCAATACCTTCACTGTGGAATACCGCTGTATTCGGAATCGTCTCCTAACTGAAATTAGAAATAGTTCTACCCCGAAAATCTTCTCATCTCTGGTGAACAAATATTATATCAACAATGGCTTAGAAGGGATATTTGACAAACTAAAAATTAGTCATCTTATGCGGCACTCCTCTGACCCTCGCTGTTAGCCCCGAAATCTATGTACTCTATCTTTAACTCTGCTTTCACTATATATGTTCTTGCAACCCAAGGCACCCATTCAAATTCTTTTTTTTTCTTTATTTCTCAAATCAAGTATTTTTGCACATATCCCCGATAACATTGTTTTATGAGCATTTCAGTGCTTTAGGAGTTCAGTTTCAAGTTCAAGTAGTAA